CATCGGGCTCCCTGCTCCTTGGGATCCTGCTTCTCCCTCTGCCTCTCTCTCTCTATCTGTCTCAAATAAATAAATAAAATCTTTAAAAATAAATAAATAAAAACTTGTTTCCTGTATTTTCTTAACTTTCTATATTGAATTTCATTATACTATGTAAATGAATGAAAACATATTTCTTTAAAAGCTGTCAGATGATGTCATTTATATGGGGAATCTAAAACAAACAGAAAGTTCCACTCAGACACCAAGAGTGGAAAAGTAGTTACCAGGGGCTGTGGGGTAGGGGAAACAGGGAGAGGCTGGTAAAAGGGTACAAACTTTCGAGTATAAGATGAATGAGGTCTGAGGATCTAATGTTTAACGTAGTGACTGTAACTGATAACACTGTATTGGATAACTGAAATTTGCTTAAGAGAGAAGAACTTAAATGCTGTCAACAACGAGCAAAAATATGTGAGATAAGTATCACAACTGATTACTTAATTTGACAGGGGGATCCTTTCAGTGTGTATGTACACCAAATCATCATGCCATATGCTTTAAATGTCTTACAATTTTATTTGTCAATTATACCTCAATAAAGCTGGGAAAGAGAACACAGTAAAAAAAAAAAGTTGTCAGAGTTGAATGACATTTTATTTTTTAACTGAACTTTGACCTATCATCAAGCAAGGACCATATTTTGAAAAGTTTCTTTACAGTTACCTTTTGAAGGAATAAAATTACATTATCCACATAGATTAGTTATGGTCCTTTGGGTATCAGTAATCACATAGTCACTTTTATTTGGATGTTACCTTTTCAGAACTTTTTTACATACTTAAGTTGATCCCTTTCTACATTTCCAGTTGTGAGTTGAGCCATAATGTAACTTACTGAAGAATATGAGCTTTGAATTCAGACCTGAGCTTGAATTTCAGCTCCCGCATTTATCAGTCATCCACCCTCAGGAAATGGGCTTATTTACCCCTGCATCTGCTTCCTCATGGGGAAGAATATCTACCTTTTTGTGATTGTTGTAAGGGTTATTAGGTAAACGGTATGTAAACCCCTGAACAAGGCTCAGTATGGTATTTCTACTATAGGTTTTCTCCATTCATTGGCATCAGCAAATCTAGCTACAGTGCTAATTCCATTTTCTGTACAAGAGTAGACCAGAATGTTAACCCTGCTCCTCTTTATATACTGCTGTTTGATGCAAATGGTTCTGTCAGACTTCTCTGAGACTGCATAACACAACTCTTTGATTATAACATTATGTATTTTTATTCTCAAACTCTCATCATGTAACACATGACTTTGCAAAAGCTACATGATGTGTGATATTACAACTGATTACAGATGAGAAATTCAGCTGCCTGCTATTGAGCTGAACACCAAAGCAGTTTGTGACATGTGAAAAAATGCCACTCTGCTCACTAAATTTTTCCTTTTGGGAAAATAGAATTTTTCATTAAAATGTTACTTATGTTACATGCAACAAGTGTCAAAAGGTCCTGAAACCAAATAGTTTGAGAACTACTGGTTTAGACTCTGAAGGCTAAGGGCAAAAACTGCAAGGCAAGCAAGACTTCTTTAAATAGATGCCATGTGATATGTACCCATATCTCAGGGTCTTTGGGGGCTTCAACCTAAATGTATCCCCTGTCTTCCTTTCCCTGGAAAAAAAGAATATAAGCAGTTAATTACTGGCTCTAATCCCACAGAAAGTTAGTTTTTCTAAGCAGAGTTGGAGCCAGTTAGATACACTGAAGTCCCACTACGACTGCTATTAATGATGGTTATTTATGTTTGCTATCTTTCACACAGAGCTTAGTTGCATGGCATTTTGGAATGCCAGGTACCAAAAGTGAGATTACTGAAAGCAGTAAAACTGAGATTATCAGCCAAGAAAGACCTACTGGAGAAAGCAAAGTAAGTATGTTAAGTGTCGTTGTGTTAAGAATTAATTGGGGTTTTTTGTTGTTTATTTGAGAGAGCTCAAGCAGGGGGAGGGGCAGAGGGAGAGGGACAAGCAGAGTGGAGCTTGGAGCCCAACAGGGGCCACAGGGCTCGCTGGATCCCAGAAACCTGAGATCATGCCCTGAGCGGAAATCAAGAGTTAGACGCTTAACCGACTGAACCACCCAGGCGCCCCTGGGCTTTAAATAAGAACCCAGAGACTGATCCAGAAATCATGGTTTGTTTCCTGCTAATTCTTCTAAACTGGCCAGATCGCAGAGCAAGCCCAAAGATGCCTTAAAAGGACTTCCACATTGAAACAATCAACAAAACCAAAAGACAACCGACCGAATGGGAGAAGATATTTGCAAATGACATATCAGATAAAGGGCTAGTATCCAAAATCTATAAAGAACTCACCAAACTCAACAGCCAAAGAACAAAGAATCCAATCAAGAAATGGGCAGAAGACATGAACAGACATTTTTCCAAAGAAGACATCCAAATGGCCAACAGACACATGAAAAAGTGCTCAATATCGCTCAGCATCAGGGAAATCCAAATCAAAACCTCAATGAGATACCACCTCACACCAGTCAGAATGGCTAGAATTTACAAGTCAGGAAACGACAGATGTTGGCGGGGATGCGGAGAAAGGGGAACCCTCCTACACTGTTGGTGGGAATGCAAGCTGGTGCAGCCACTCTGGAAAACTGTATGGAGGTTCCTCAAAAAGTTGAAAATAGAGCTACCCTACGATCCAGCAATTGCACTACTGGGTATTTACCCCAAAGATACAAAAGTAGGTATCCGAAGGGGTACGTGCACCCCGATGTTTATAGCAGCAATGTCCACAATAGCCAAACTGTGGAAAGAGCCAAGATGTCCATCGACAGATGACTGGATAAAGAAGATGTGGTATATATATACAATGGAATATTATGCAGCCATCAAAAGGAATGAGATCTTGCCATTTGCAACGACGTGGATGGAACTGGAGGGTATTATGTTGAGTGAAATAAGTCAAACAGAGAAAGACATGTATCATATGATCTCATTGTTATGAGGAATTCTTAATTGCAGGAAACAAACTGAGTGTTGTTGGAGTGGGGGGTGGGGTGGGAGGGATGGGGTCCCTGGGTGATAGACACTGGGGAGGGTACGTGCTCTGTTAAGCGCTGTGAATTGTGCAGGACTGTTGAGTCTCAGATCTGTACCTCTGAGACAAATAATGCAAGATATGTTAAGAAAAAAAAGAAGAAGAAGAAGGTAGCGGGAGGGGAGGAATGAAGCGGGGGAAATCGGAGGGGTGGACGAACCATGAGAGAAGATGGACTCTGAAAAACAAACTGAGGGTTCTAGAGGGGAGGGGGGTGGGAGGATGGGTTGGCCTGGTGGTGGGTATTGAGGAGGGCACGTTCTGCATGGAGCACTGGGTGTTGTGCATGAACAATGAATCATGGAACACTTCATCTAGAACTAATGATGTAATGTATGGGGATTAACATAAGAATTAAAAAAAAATTGTAAAAAAAAAATAAAAAAAAATAAAAAATAAAAAAAAAAGGACTTCCACATTAACTATTCACATTGTATGTGAAACATAGGAGTTGATTCATAGTTTAAAAAATCATTTGGGAAAAGAGCTGTATCTTCTAAAAATCTCTGGATTCCTGCAGTTATGGTGAACAATCTTCAAGGGAAAATTCAGTACAGGTAGCCTATGAAAGGATTTTTTTTGTCTTGGGAGGTTGTTTAAAGAACAAAATACTGGAATTTTGAATACTTTCAGGAGTTTATGGGGAAGCATGGCATAAAATTGGTATCATGAGAAAGTTTTGACTGGTTTCCAGGATCACGATATTCAGAAACCAGTGTAAAACGACTAGAACCTCGTGTTCCGATATCCTTCCTTTTGATTGCTTTTTATTGCCTCGAGTTGCGTATCTTCCCAGGGCCTTTTCCCCCTCATCTCTCGTTTCTTACAGCTTTCTGATTCTCTTACACATTCCATTGCAAACTTGTCTTTATTCTTCCACTCCTCTTCTAACGAGGTTCATGGCTGGTGCCTTGGGTGGTTATCGCTGATCATCCTTCTCCTCAGTTACTTTCTTCTTCCAACTAGCCTGCTTTTCTGTCCTTCCAGTTGGCCCCTCTCTCAGAGCCAGTGAGGAAATGGACACTCCGGAAATATCCCTTGGATGCTGACCACTTAAACATGGATTCCTTAGCTTTATTTAATTTCGGATGAGAGTTATAAAGGATAAAATCATTTTATACAGATAATTCTGTTTCTTTTATCCTGTATTTTTTTACATGGGTCTTTATAAATACGAACCTCCTCTATTTACCTTCTTCACACCCCTTCTAAACAACGTTGACTATTTAAAACACCTGTTTTTTTTCTTGGCACAAGGAGGACGTCATATATTCTTCATCCCATCTGGGCTTCCTTATCCAAACACCCACCACTTATAAAGCCAGTGGCATTTGTCAGGGTGGTAGCCATGAGTCTATGCCTTTGTACATCAAATCTGAATGGAGCTTTTTGGTAAAGGGTCAAGTTAAAGTATATATATAATTTGGAAAAAAATTGAGCATACAAAAGAACTTGTTTCATTGGTTCTTTTATAGTTACGAAAATAGGTATTAACTGATTTTTTATAACTGTCTTTATAGTTACTTTTTTATATACATGTGTGTATGTATATATATATATATAATTTGTGTACCTTAGTAAGTCAGCTTATGAAATGGTAGATTTATAGCCATGACAGTGTGTTAAAGAAAAAATCATTCATGACCCTTGTTAAAGAACAGTAAGGCAGACTTTTATCCAGGACCTTTGTGCTAGGTGTAGGGACCACTACAATGGGATTTTGCAGTTGGGTAGAAAGATTGGGCTCAACTCTGAATACAACAAGGAATAGTAGGAATTTATAGCCAAGGAGCAAGGTGGAGGTTAGTGGGTGGAATATGACTGAGGAAACATCAGGGATAATAAGGGATTCTTGCTAAAGGCAGGACAGGGTGATAGGTCATCATTGGAAGATGGTGTGGGATAAGGAACCCAATCAGATATTGAAAGAGGTCAGATCCTGAGAATGAGTCTGGCTAACCTCACTCAGCAGGATTCTTGATAAAGTTGGACAATGAAAAGATGAACATGGAAGCTCAAGAAATCATTTGAACTCTCTTCTCAACATGGATGGAAAGACTGTCAAGATAGGGTTCAGTGTGTAAAGAGAACGGATAGCCTTCCCTCACCCTGATCTTTTTTCTTTACCCTCAGACAATATCCTCAACTACTCCCTTGAAATTATTTAATCATCATTTATCTGGTTTTAGGCAAATACAGGTTTTTTTACTTTTCAGACTTGATATTCCCTTACTTTTTACCTTTAAGTTTGAGAAATTCAGAGAAACCTGTAACTCGATGAGTACCCTTTTAGTCTTTTTCTGTACATGCATAATGTCTTAATAATTAATGTTGCTGCATAATTTTGTAACCTGCAATTCACTTAACTAAACATACTGTAGAAATTTATATTTTTTAACATGTAACAAATTCATTAGGCTTAACATTTAACAAGTACAAAAGAGGAAGAGTGAAAACTAAGTCTTCCTCCTATGTGGAGAAGCAGTTTTAATAGCTGCCTAACAGTATATCATAAGGATGTACCATGTATCATTTTTAACCCATCTCCAATTGTTGACATTTGTGAGTGGGTTTGTTACTATTTCATTATTTATGAACACTGGTGGAACAGCCTTACAGAAACAACTTTTGGTCAACCCTGTGATTTTTTTTTTTAATGATAAATTTTTCTTGAACTTCCTTCCATCCTTTGTTTTTATTTTTTTTTTTAAGTAATCTCTACCTCCAATGTGGGACCCAGACTCACTACCCTGAAATCAGAGTCGCAAGCTCTACCAACTGAGCCAGTCAGGCACCTTCCTTCCATCCTTTTTCTGATTTCTTCCCCTTTGACCTTTTTCATCTTCTTTTTCCTGCCTCCAAATGCCTTAGTCCCTCAAGCCTCAACTCCTGTTCCTTGGCCTTTACCTAGCAGTTCTTAATGTTCTCTGGTATCGATACTCAACCCCTGTTCCTTCCTCGGATTCCGTCATCTGTCCAGGTGCCATATCTGATTTTCTTTCCTTTACCTATGTCCCCAGTATTTTCAGCTTTACCATCTGCTTTATATCTTCGAGTTTCAGAATGATGATCCTGCGGCAAAACGCTATCCTACATTTCACTGACAAAAAGAAAGCTGGGTGGATAATAATGTTCATGGTCTGGAGTCAGAGTAAAACTGGGTTAACAGCCATCAGTGATTGTTACTGTTATTCCTCTCAGGCTGCTATTTTAATCCTGTGTTTTGGTTCTGGTAGATAAAAGTACTTTTCTATCTCTACAACTTATTAAAACCTGTACTTTTACAGAAGTTGTAGTAACTTATATGTAAAATTTTGCTTATAGATCTGAGAGTTCTGGACCATCTGGGTCTCAAAAAATGACCAAAGTATACACATTCTTTCTGATCATATTCTGTATTACGAGAAATACAAATTCCTATTTATATATTTATAGTGGACCCTTGAACAACACAGGTTTGAAGTGCAAAGGTCCACTTACATGCAGATTTTTCCAATATGGGACAGTGCTATATATATATTTTCCTTATGATTTTCCTAATATTTTCTTTTCTCTAGCTTACTTTACTCTAAGAATACAGTAATGTAACACATATACAAAATATGTGTTAACTGACTTACCAGTAAGGCTTCTGGTCAAGAGTAGGCTATTAGTAGTGAAGTTCTGGGGGAGTCAAAAGTTATATACCGATTTTTGACTGTACAGGGGATCAGCACCCCTTCCTTGTTCAAGAATCAACTGTAATTATTTGGGAAATGAGTGGATTAAATTAGTTCTTTGAGAATAAAGTTTTTTTTGTTTTGTTTTTTTAAAGATTTTACTTATTTGACATGGGGGGCGCCCAAGCAAGGGGAGGGGAAGAGGGAGAAGCAGGCTCCCCGCTGAGCAGAGAGCCTGATGCGGGGCTCGATCCCAGGACCCTGAGATCATACCTGAGCCGAAGGCAGACCTTTAACCGACTGAGCCACCCAGGCACCCGAGAATAAAGCTTTAAATTAGACATACCATGAGGTTTTCTTTTTGTTTTTCCTTACAGGGATGGAAGCGAAAGTGAAGCAGTGTTTTATCCTATGTACTTCGGCAGACCTTCTGCAATTCAGCTAAAACCATGACTGCTCTTTCTTCAGAGAACTGCTCTTTTCAGTACCAGTTACATCAAGCAAATCAGCCTCTAGATGGTAACTGTCTGCTATTCTTGATTATACTTGGGAAAATATTACTGAATATCCTCACATTAGGAATGAGAAGAAAAATCACCTATCAAAATTTTATGGAATATTTCTGCATTTCACTAGCGTTCATCGATCTTTTACTTTTAGTAAACATTTCCATTATATCCTATTTCAGGGATTTTGTACTTTTAGGCATTAGGTTTACTAAATACCACATCTGCCTATTTACTCAAATTATTTCTTTCACTTATGGTTTTCTGCATTATCCAGTTTTCCTGATAGCTTGTATAGATTATTACCTGAATTTCTCCAAAACCACAAAGCTAGCATTTAAGTGTCAAAAATTATTTTATTTCTTTATAGTAATTTTAATTTGGATTTCAGTCCTTGCTTACGTTTTGGGAGATCCAGCTATCTACCAAAGCCTGAAGGCACAGAATGTTTATTCTTACCAGTGTCCTTTCTACATTAGCATTCAGAGTTACTGGCTGTCATTTTCCATGGTGGTGATTTTATTTATGGCTTTTCTAACCTCTTGGTCAGAAGTTACTGCCTTGGTACAGGCTGTTAGGATGACTTCCTATATGAATGAGACTATCCTGTATTTTCCCTTTTCATCCCATTGTAGTTATACTCTGAGCTCTAAAAAAACACTCCTGCCCAAGTTCATTATCTGTTTTCTTGGTACCTGGTTACCATTTGTAGTACTTCAAATAATTATCCTTTTACTTAAAGTACAGATTCCAGCATTTATTGAGATGAACATCCCATGGTTGTACTTCGTCAATAGTTTTCTCATTGCTACAGTTTATTGGTTTAATTGTCACAAGCTTAATTTAAGAGACATTGCATTACCTGTGGATCCATTCGTCAACTGGAAATGCTGCTTCATTCCACTTACAATTCATAATCTTGAGCAAATTGAAAAGCCTATATCAATAATAATTTGTTAATGTTGCCATGTTAAAACTAATTAAAACTGACAACTACAGTAGGAATCATAATTTTACAAAGGGAAAGGACATACAAAGATTGAACTGAACTGAGGCTCCCCTCCCCGGCCCCAACTTTCATACCTTTTCAGAATGTGTCTTTTGGGACTATGGTATTAAAAACAAAATAATTCCAAGAAAATTTTTTATACCTGTTCAGGAACACTGCGTGTTACCAATATTAATTTAACACAGAAGTGAAGCGAGTTAATATTTGGCCATACTGATTTCATGTTACCCAAAAAACTAGTGGATGCAAACTGTTATGTAAATCTGAGCTTCTCTGCCAGTGATATACAAATGTAAATAAACATTTTTATTAAATTCAGAGCAAGAAAATCAAGATCATTTTCTTAAAATTATTTGGTGTAAATATTCCTTTAACATAAAGGGAAAATTAGCTCAATTTGAATTTAGGTAATTTTCAAAACTCTCTCTCTGTTCTTAATACAGATATTCCTGGAAGAAAAGTTTTAGTTGCTCACCTTACAGAACTGGGGAGTAGTGACTAGGTCTCTTTCCATGACATACCAGATTCATTTTCATTTATAACTTATATGTCACATACTTGCATGTCAAATCATAATCACATGGGCAATGTATCACACTGTAAAAGTAAAGGAGGGTTTCTTATCCTCAGCACTGTTCACATTTTGGGTTGGATAATTCTTTGTTGTGGGAGACTGCCCTGTGCACTGCAGGGTCTTCGCCAGAGTAAAGCCATCTCAATGACAGAAATCAACTGAAGTCACTTTGTTCAACTACGTAGATACTGTCTATAACTGTCACCATTTCTAAACTTCATCCCCTCTACTTCTCTGGGTTACTTTCCCTCTGACTGTACCACTTTCTAACTAACTGGCCATTACCTAGGACTGAGATACTTTAAAATATATTGTACTTAGTAAAGATTTACACTCTGCACATTATAAATAGGCAAATTTGTAACTATTTCAAAGCCCTCATAAGCTTAAAGAAAAAATTATTCAATCGACCAGCCAAATGGAAGAGGCTTTTATTTGTAAAGAAATGAACTTACAACTGGTCTACAATATATTATTGTAATATAAACAATATAAATAAATGATCCTGTAGGCCCACTAACCTTCCATCCAGACCCACATGAGGCAATGTTAACAATATTCTATATGAAAATGTGCAGGTAACAAAGGTGCAATTACAAGCAAGTTTAAGCAGCAGAGTATAAGGTGCTTTAATTTAACAGTTAATGTTGCCATCAACAAACATTTGAATGCTCAATTTTACTTCACTGAATACAGACACAACAAATATGAAAATCTAAAATTCATACACATGCTACTTGTTAATATGAAAGTGCTTTCTCTTTTAAAAAAATACACCAAATGGACAGTCTTTTTACATAGATCATGATGTGCTCTTATAATGCAAAATTAACTTCATTTTCAGGTTATACATTTTAAAACTGTAGCTATAGACACCAATCTAGGAACGCTAATGCTAAGAGTGCTAAAACTATTTCATTTCCTGTAAGGAGGACTCTAATACAATATCCAATGGAAAGAATACATCTATATATAATCTTAACACCTGTTTTTTGTAAAAGTAAAAAAGGTTTCCTTTCCCCTTGGTGATGCTTTGTTCAACCTGGGTAGATGAGCTTTTGAGGTTTTAGTAATATGAAAGTCCTATTTTAGAACAATGGGAGGAACCAAAAGGAATTTAAAAATCAGTTAATGTGTGCTTGAAGCATCAAAAAAAAATTACAACAATTTGCCTTTGTTAAATCAACGAAGTAACATTTTTTTTAACAAGCAAGAAGACAAAAAGCAGTAATTTAACAGAGGCTTGAAATGCCCACCCTCGCCTCTCCTGTCAGTACCCCTCCACACACTGTGTCTACAACTCCAGCCTTCACCACAGCTCACTCCTCACTCTGAGGATAGTTTTTAGAACTCACTTTGACTTTTTTTTCCTATGGAAAAAAACAAGACCAAGCTTCTGAACGAGGTGATTGGGAATCTAAGTGTACTGGCAATCAGACATCTATAATTATGCACACTGCATTAGCTTTTTAAAATTCAAGAATACATATACAAAAAGTATGCTATAGATATTTTAACACCATAAAATATTTGAAAAATTAGGTGAATTAAAACATTTTAAAAGTAAATTTTAACCAGGACCATGGAAAATTCTTTTAAACCCAGACTATTTGGTTACTTGGGTGTCAGTGTTCTATTTTCAATCAGTTTTAGATTCTAATCTAACATGTATTGGGACATTTTCCTGCTTTAAAAGCTGCAACGATGATGCATAAAAGATCTTTTTTAATATTAGGTGTTTTTATTTTGAGGGGGTGAGGAAAAAAAGATATTTTCATTTTGTATCTTTATGGAGAATGCTAGCATGATGTTAATCTGTATTGCTGGAACAACAGGAATTAGAACATTTCACAGAACCCCCAAGTGGTAAGGAAATTACCCAGTTAATCAATGCCATTCAATATTTATTCTCCAAAGAGCTGTCAATTCAAGCATGGAATGGTTTTATGTTGACCAGTTCTGCATTTTAAAGGAAACCCTTTTAACTATGTAATACATGTGTGCTTTCTAAAAAGTATTTGTAATAACAGTAAATTTTGTGTAATTTCTTGCTTTATCAACAAAAGACAATAAAAAACAAACCTGTTTAGCGATCTCCTTTGAGACTTTTCAGTTTTAGAAAGTTACTCCACTGTCAGTACTGGGTGTAAAGCTTTTGTAGTTACAATGTATAGTAAATCAGCACCAGCTTCTTTCTTTGTATTGTTCTGTCACACACCCTGTATAGCAACACCTCTGGAATAGATTCAAGGGTCAAAATAATTCTGAGAAATATGAGCTGTCACAACAGTCTGAAAATGTAAATCCTTATCAGGTACCCTTGATTTTGTAACCGATAATCAGGTATATGATTGACTATGATTAGTATGTGAAATGTGTTTTAGGAATATTGTGCTGTGATTCACTCAGACCCCTTAGATGTCATCTAGCTTAATACTTTTATTTACCCCGGACATAAAAATTTCCCTCTCAGTTCCAACTTCACATTCAGTACAGTAAGTAATAGTAATAATAATGTCCATGTTTGTTTAAAGCCACAATCAGAATTGTTTGGGAAGATTTTGTGTACTTATTACCAGTTCCTTAAGTCATGTATACCACACACTGCACATAGTGTAAGTGTTCAAATGGTTTACTAAATGAATGGATAAATGCATGAATGACAATGTTCATATGTATTTGTATGTTCAGTGGTTAACTAGTAGGAAGCATTTACAAAAATGCCCTCATTTGCTTGTCTGTACAATTTTCCTTCTCTACTTTAATCCGTAAGAGAACAAAAACTGCAGGTGGCCCAGGAAATGGATGCTTAACATTCATCTTTTAGCAAAAGCTCTTAGTATGAAATGAACCGTTCCAAAGGGAAAGAGAGTAAGTAGAAGCAACTTTAAAAATACCCCATTATGTGGCCTAGAATCATAGTTTTAGAGCTGGGAGGTACCTTAAAGATGATTTAAACCAAAATCAGCCTTTTGAGTAGTAGAGGCTCCATACTGTGTATTCAGAAGATGGAACAGATTAAAAGCAAAGGAAGGGCTGAAGGTGTCACACGCCACTAAGTCACCAACTGCAAGTAAAACTCCCAGCCCCCCAACCAGCGTTTTATCTTCTTTCATTTAATGATTATGTTCATCTCTTATTTACTACTGAAGTAGACCATTTAGTACTACCTAAAACAAAAAGAATTAAGACTTTAACAACACATTCTAAATAAAGATTTTAAGCAATGGACACTTCTGGTTTGCTTGAGGCAAGACTAAAAAAAGTTCCTTCTTTCTAGAACAGATTCACGTTTATTTCACTACCAGCCCCACCACTATCCTATAAACACCAACTTCTTCACCTCCATTAATTAAAGCTCCACAAAACATGGGTTTAACACTGATAATAGTCCCTAGAGCATAACTTTTCAGCCAATAACTGATGGCTACTATCAATTCTTAAGATGATGACTGGAGTCAGTTGAAGTAGGCGGTCTCAAAGGACTTACTGACTTCTGCTTATATTTAAAACTATGCCATGTTAGCAGAACAGTATGTTAAATTTATATTAAGTTCTTTTTTCTGACTTAAAATTCATCACTAGACTTCTTTTCAAAAGCAATACATTTTAAAACCCTTGTAAAGGTTTTCTTTCTATGGATTCATACTGACATCATCAATATCAGAGAACAATTATACTTTTCACAAAAGCAGTGGGAACAAATACTTCTCTAATGTACCCTCTTCTCCAACATCTAAGATTAAAATTGTCATCTTTAAATAAAATTAAATGTTCACAAGCTATAAAAAAAGAAAAAAATGAAACATTCATGGAAAACCTTTCCTAAAAGGACCCATAAACATGGCACTGAAGAGGTGTGTGTTCATGAGTTCGAGCAGAATGGGGTTTTCATTAGAGAAGCTGGGCCTCAGAGCTGAAAAGGAGGGAGACCGCTCCCTTTTAATGTCTGTGAGCTCAAGTGAAAGTTCAGAAAAAGCCAAACACGGTGCTCTGGAAAATGACGCTAATTTGTATTAGTGCTTTACAACTTTCAAAAAAGGCTTTCTCATAGTATTATTTTAAAATAGATTAAATAAGCTCTAAAAAATAATATGTAAAACTTTAAATTCTTAAAAATTTAGGAAACTTTTTCTGAAGAAGATAATATAATTTTCAACTTTTTTTATTATTATTGAAGAAATGGCTTGTATTGCTGCTATGAAGGAACTATTATATAGTGGTACATATTATGAACTAACAAAAAAGGAATATCTTCCCAAAGAATTTTTTTAAGATGTACAGTTTATAATAGGTTGAAATTAAACTTTAGTAAGATTGCATATTTATTTTTCTAATACTGTATTTGTGCTTATCTAAATTGAATCACAATCTTTAAGATTAAATCAAATGCTCTTAAATAGACTCATAAAATACCAATATTGATGAATGTGAATTAAACAGTTCATTTCATGATCCACACTACTGTGCATCAAAGAAATAGAGGTAGGCTTCTGTTGAAATCCATACTAATAACAAGAAAGCTATAGCTCTCTAGTCATCCAATTCTTAGATACAACCTAACAAATAAAATACTATCTTAAAATGCCTTTGTAACAATCAGCCTTGTAAGGTTGATTCAACTGTGGTATCTGAAAATGGATACTGTCCTCTATAATTCCAATAACTCAATTATAACAATTAACCTTTTGAGTTTTTGACAGATACTCTCCAAGTACAATGGTTGTCACTTTTTGAAGTAAAAAATCACTAACTTATATATCACTGGAACTATTTATTAATAGTCCTTTTAGGGGCAGGAAGTCCTCCTAGAGCAGGATCATTTGATACAGAGTGAAAGAATGAGTATGATTACAGGTGAATCTTACTGCTGTAACGGACCCAACCATTACACTGTATTATTCTGAACTACTGAAGGTCATATCTATACTACACACCCTCACTCCGTTAACTGTACTATCCCCTTGGGTCTGGAATGCTTTTCCTCCTGTTTGTCTCTTCCTCCACTTCCCTGTCCTTCCCCCTGGAAAACCTTCCTTGAGGCCCAGCTACATAGATGGTGCACAGGAAACAGACTGAACATTGTTGCGTCGATGGGCCAGTTCCCACTGCCCAAACGTTTCATTGAAACGTGACTGTTAGGTCTTAGAAAGTCCTGCCCCAACTGCCTTCCTAAAATTAACTCTACTACAAAATCCTCTCTAAGGATTTTCAGGCAAAGGTCTCTAAGAAGTTTTCCCATGGTTCTCGCGGGGCTAGAACAGGCTTGAGGGAAGCGAAGCAGTAGGGGAGGGAAGCAGTAGGGGAGGCCCTCTGAGGCTGTCACACAGGCAGCATGCATTCCTGCCAGTCATTAGGGGTGAGGATCCTCAAACCACAAAATATAATCACAAGGTTCTAGTTTAAAATGTCTTTACAACTTTTTAACAGTGTGTCCAATCAGGATTTCAGCTACTCAGTACGACTGTGAGGACAGCATCATTCACATCCATCTATAATAGTTTATTCTTTCCAAAACGGCTTACACATATGTAAACACAACCTAAGAGTATGCAATCTATATATTGCCTTCCTACCATACTTACGCCATGATGGTACCAGAACCCTCCGAATGCAAACAACAGGACTTTATAACGTTTAACTGAACCAGTCTCTAATATGGGACACTGTGACAGGTTTCAGTATCAGACCGGTATTTGAATAAATGTCTGACTATAATTTCACACTTGATATATGAAGATTAGCTAGGTCAAAAATTAGTCAAAGGTATGGGCACAACAATACTTCATACAGTTCTAAGCAAGTGTTTAAACACACTAGGAAACAAAAACAAACAATGGGCTACCTAAAAAAATCATTTCTATTTAAAACTAGGTAAATCATGAATATTAACTTCCTCAAAAGTGCAGAAATTTGTTCAGTGTTGAAGTGGGATAAGCAAAGTGGCAGGTCTCTTGTCTGCCTCTCTCCCATTCTCAAGCTTCTTCGCTAATATGTCTTCTCCCCATTCCACATTCTCTACTCCTATGTGACAGCCCTTAAGCTGATACTAAGAAAAGCATCTGTTTAGCGATGCCACAGCATCCTGGAAATAGTTATATGCCATTAAAAAGTGACAGGTTTGGGGACAGCACTCTGCCTTATACAATAGTGATTATATCAAAGCTGCATAGCTTGTCAGACACAAGGCCTGATGAAAATCCATATCATGTAAAAATGTTTACAAACCAGCTCTCTGAGTGTGTTTATTTTCTTAGGAACACATGGCTTAAAGCAAATAAAATCTGAAACGTGTAGGTTTTATTTCCCTCAATGGGAAAAGAGTGCATCAGTTTAAAGAAGTCAGAAGATGCAAACTCAGGTAGCAAAAGTAGAAAGAACTTCCCATGTTCCCTTTTTGTCATTCTTTCTCCTCCTAAAACAATTATTAGCATGAAGAAAAAACAACACTCTCCCACCTACATCATACCAAAACTGTGCTCAGAACTTAGGAGAGAGGTGGATGCCCAGTGTTATCGTCCATATCCATCATATATAACTGAAGCTCTGATTTTAAGATGGTTAATTCTCTAGAAAGAAACAGATGCATCAACAGGGAAAACTACCAGTTGAGCAAATGAGCCATTTCTAAATAAAATAGCTCATTTGAAAAACCAAGTATATTTTCTAGGCATGTTTTGAGTGAGGACAAGAGAAGATCTGGACTACTTTTGAGATTATTACAAGATTTAAGATTATAAGGTGCTCTCATCAAATGGAACCCCCCCCCCCGCCCCCAGCCGTTCTTATAAGCTTTCTTGAATATTTAACACAGTGCTAGGCACGGGGGCTTTCAGTTAGTATATAATGACTGATATTAGAAAAGGGAGTAAATAAAAGGAGAACCTGTACATAGTTCAAAGTTAATACCTTAAAGGCTATAGATAATATAGTTATGGGCGGTAATCATTATTGCTAGAGGAGTCTATCCCCAAATAATCAATTGCTTGTGGATTATCTACGAAAACGTTTTAATTCCAGGGGAGATTTTCCTCTGTGCCCTCCACACCCTCCCTACCCCTGCAGTGGACCATCTCCTACTAATGCTCAGCCTAT